CGGTATCCGAGCGTTTTTAACTGCGTACAAGTTTTAACTTGACTTATCCTTGCCCTACTCCCATCGCCCCCCCCCCCGTTCCCTTCACATCGCCTTTCACCGGAATCCATTCACATTAAACCTGCTAGCAGCAACTTCAAATTGCTTAGCTCCCAAATGAACAGACAGGCACCTGATTTTTAGGCTCTAAGATTGCGGTTCTTCTTAGGACTGGACACTGGTAGTTTTGCTCTTTTAGTTGCTGAGACTACTGTCATATCATTGAATGTAGCAATTTTTAAAACAATATTTTGCGCCATTAATGGCTTTTTTTCGTCCGTCTATAGGCCAACATAAAAAGGCAGCATACTTTCTCTAGCAGTATTTATCGGCTTTTTTCGTTAGCCATTTTTGGGGATTTCCCAAAGATTGCCTGTTACTTTGGGACCGTCCAGAAACTCCGTGATGATCACGGGGCACTTTTTTGGACCCCCTCCCCCCTTCCCTCCCCATGATCGGTCTGTGAACAGTCCCTGACCCCCCCCTCCCCTCCCCCGTAATATCACGCCTCCCAAATCGCTAAATGCGGCCGCTTAGCCTTACTAGAAAACACTTTTATAGCTAGGTATCGGTCATAAATTGATCAGGTTCCAAATTATCTACTGCTCCGACTGAGGAAGCAACTTTTAACATAGCTGTACGGCCATCTTTTGATGAAAATGGTTAAGCGTTCGCATTGTCCGGGATCAGTCGTCGTAATCGCTAATTCATCACTTGATTTAACGTAATATAGACTAACATATGGCAGTGACCTGTTTTTTTAGGAAAGATGCGTTCTCTTGGGAATTTTAGATATACGGGAAGTTTTTCGCTGTAATTCTAACGAATGATGTGACCAAACAGCCGGTGCTAATTCTAACGAATTTGCACCGGGCTGCGCCAAACCTGCTTGATGGTGAGTATTCTTCAACGAAAACGGTCTAATGTGCGGTTCCTAAGATGTTCTCCTTATCCTATACTGAAAACCATCTGGCTTACGTGTCTGCAATAACTTGAAATTATCTTGAATATTTGGACTATTTTGGGTTACTCCATCTGCCGTAAATTCGTAACTTGTCGCCCCTCTTAATATAAAACCAGCTGGATTATGCTTTTTGTATGTCTCCCCAAAAAGCAAAAGTATACTCGGATGCTTCCGGGGGGGGGGGGATACGTTTTGCGCCGAGTGTGGGGGAGGGGCGAATGTCCAAGCACTGCCAAAATTGCCCCTAGTGTCCTACGTAGTTTTATAGACAAGTGAGCTACGAGTGGACGTCGGCATTCTTAGACCTCTGATTCTGGAGAAAGCGTCGAAGATACGCTTGGGTGCGAAAGGTTTTCCTTTAAATGCTTTTGTTATATCTCTCAGAGATTCGTGAAGAATTGCTTCAGTATTCGATAAAGAAGATCTAGTTTTCACAGCATTGGAATGTTTAGGTAAGTTCTTTATGGCAGTTTGCTACGGTATTTCTTGTAGCAACTTGGGTCCCCGATGGTAACCTACTGCCTTAGATGTGTTCACTTCCTCTCATTGCTTCGCGAAGCGGATAGAACGCTGTCTTGCCCCTACGCCGACGTGTTCTTTGCAGGTAGGTGTGCGTGGCGAATCCAGCGCAAGCCGATAACCAGCGCGAAAATTACGTGTCCGATAACGGAGTCGGCCGCGAACGCTCTTAACAAGGCGGACGAGTGTGCACTTGCGCATTGTTCGCAAAGGGAGGAGTGCTGATTTCTTGTTCGCAATCGGCTTGCCACTTTTCCCTCGTACTTTCTTTAAATTTGTTCCATCCGTGACCACTCCCCTAATTGGATTTATGATAGCGCATGTTATCTGCCTTACGGCAACAAGAGGTTTCTGCAAAATCATTTGGCGCTAGGGGATCGAAGAGAAGAATCAGGCACTTGATGACGTTAGCTTTTCGAAGACGGACTGTGTTTGGCTTCACGTTTGCGGCTTTACGGCGCTACAAAGCTACGTCATTCATAGCAACTGCAAGTACTGCAGGCTTTACGTTTCAGTGGTCCGGGCTTTCGTGTCAAACTCTCCGAGGATTAATTTTGTGAGTTAATGAACATCATGGATCTTTGCGTTCGTCTGTTCTTATGTATGTTGTAGCCGATTATATTTTTCAGCCAACCACGTGGTTGGCTAAAATTTCGGCCAACCATGTTTGAAAACACCGTTGGCTAGCCAACCACGTTTTTGGCTAGCCAACCACGTTTGAAACATCGTTGGCTAGCCAACCCCATTTGTTGATTAGCCCGCCGTGTTTGACAAAGCCGCCGGCCGTAAACGCTGTTTGCAAGCGCGGATGGCTGGATCTACACCATCCGATATGCTTGGGAGTGCAGCGAATCGTTTCAGTTTTGATCGAGAATGATATGAACACAAAAAGCGTTAAATTTTTAATGATATTATGTCGACGGCAAGACCGAAGCCATGCTTTAAGGTAGCAATACCCATGATTGTTACTGAACATTATCGCGGCGAATTTAATGCCAGGCCGTTACGTATAAAATATACATGGCGATAAAACAGCTCAGGCAGCGACAGGTATCGCTTCAAGCAGGTTTTTAGATGCATAGCTAAGAACGGTAAAGCTGGGTTCTGGAACTAGAACGAGGACATTCAAGCAACCAACGCTACTTCGATGAGCCATGCTATGCTCGCATGCAAATATTAACGATGGACTTTGAAGTAGAGATCGACACCCGTAACGTACTACGGGCCGTACCCGTAGCCGTAGCCGTAAAATACGGCTACGGCTACGGTACGGGGGGACCCCCCGTTGCGGGCCGTAATGAAACCCGTAAAATAAGGTAAGGGGGGACCCTTTGGTGAGGAACCCCAGATGCCCGCTGACTCCAAAAAAGGCAGAAATGTGCGTTTTCTTCAAAAAAAAATCTGCCCATTATCGACTGCAAATGCTAGCTACATGCTTGCTATTACACATAGGAACATAGTTCCCTTGCTTCTTGATAAAAATTACACGGAAATACAGGCGAATTTTTGTGTGCATTACGGCTAAGGCTACGGGCCATAAAATGCATTACGTTACGGCTATGGTACGGGGGGGGGGCGTTACGGGTACGGCTACGGTACGGGGGGTCAATGTCGATCTCTACTTTGAAGCAAACCAAGTGAGTAGAGGAGACGCGTCGTGCGCTCAACCCACAGTACTTCTGTCTTTCTGCCAACGATTGTCCGCTTTTTTGCGTAGTATATTTCTTAACTCAAAATCTTCTGAGATTATCCTGACTTACGATTACGCGCACACGACGGCTTTTTGCTTCGGGCCACTGCAGAGGCCGTTTGCTTCGCTCAAGAAGACAGGTTTTTTGGCCTTAAATTATTATATCTTGCTGAAAATTTGCAAAATTAGAAGTTTCTTCTTAGCCCTTACTTTGTCGCATTGTCTCGAAAAAAAGGACTAGCTGCAGCTTATACCGTTTGTATTTTCGGCTCTTTGGAAATTTTTTTACTTGTTTATGTTGGGCCAGTTAGTGCCTAAACGATAATCCGGCGTTTCTTTTCGCAGTTCATTGAAATATGCTTTGTATTCATGCTCAGGTAACCGTCGCAGTCTTGACATTTTCTTATCAAAGTGTTCTTTTTCCTCCTGAACGAAAGATCGAAAGGGGTCAAGACGAACAACCTTATTACCTGAAGCGCTGTCGCTATGAACGTCACGACGAAGTTCATTCACGCTACACGCTTAAGCGTGTTACCAATAGATAGTGCTTATTAAGGCATGTAAAACGGAAAGTTTCAGCCGGATCGGTTTTTGTCTAGGGAAAAAAAAGATATGACCGATCAAAATTCCAACACCTAACTACTGCTTCCATGCGGTCGCGAGCGCTATGGGAAGCATGCGGGAGCGGGCAAGAAGGAGATATTCTCTCGAATCGAACCCAGGAGAGTTCGCAAGCATGGAGACTATAAAAAATTACGTTCGCTGTTCAAGGCGGTATATCCGGGGGGGGGGGGGGAGTCGGGGCAAAGGGCGGAGGGGTCACTAAAGGGCTGGTGAATCCAAAACATAATACCCTTCGAGTTTTTATCATTCGTTTACCCAAAACAGGACGCGTTTAGCCTTTGCAAATAAAACTCGGAATTACGGCTTTTGTGGTTTTCTTTGAACTGTTCCGACACACGAAAATTTAGAACACTAGACGCATGCCGTATCGCCGTGACACATACGTCATATGCTTTGTACATGGAATCCCGGTAGCGGCGCCGGCTGCGCGAAGCGTAGCCAGCCACTAATCGATGATATTCCGGACTTGAAACGACTGGAAGACATTAGGCCACATACCTCATTCTAGACACTACGTGTTTATTCCTCACATTAAAATTTGGTCAAGGCTTCTTTAGATTATCGTTTCTCTCTGGGTCTAATAACGACGACAGTTCATGCTGCCCTTGTGGAATTGAAAACCTAGAAATAAACGAGCGTGAGAATACGATTTCTTAGCTGGAAAGAATCGAATCAAGCAGTGACGGCATGTCACAAGACGACATTTGGACTTCCAGGTTTTGCAATAAATGTTCATATGTTAATGTTCAAGGAATGGACTCGGAGGGAACGCTCAAAAGCAGATTTACCAGCGCATGTAAGCGAAAGCTGCCCCAAATCTGAAAAGCACCCCAAATTTCCGCAAGTCAAAATTTTTTATGGCTATTTGCAGGTCTGGTCAATCCGAAAAACCGATATCGTCCGTTTGGGACGAGGACGGCTCCCGGTTGGGTTGTCGAGGAACAATAAACCAACTGGGTGGTCTAATTGGTAACCTCTCTTGGCTGAACTGAACAAACCAGTAGAGGATCAAATTTTACTTTTTAATAAGAAGAACAAAATCCGGCGAATCGCAAAAAGTATCACCTAAGCTACGCACCCATATGTACTCGTAGACTAGTGTACGCATCTGGGACTTGAATTCTTCAAAACTGTTGGGAACTTGTCCCGCGGCGGACTCGAAACCTGACCCGCGGCGGAATCGAAACAGGAACGTACCTGAAGGGAGAATGCATTAGAAGTCCGCAGCGCTATCCACTAGGCCACGGATCCCACGTGACGTCGAGTGCGTTGGGGGCGCCCACATTCGGTCGGTTGTCGTCGGTCGATCGCTTGCCCGCTGGTCCGTTTCTCACAAATCGTGTTCGCACAATTATTATGTAAATTTTGAAACGGACCTGTTGCAGCTGCCCTGCACCATATTATGCTCGCGATGTAGATGTGCCCCTAGCTATGTCCCTGTATTAGACGCCCCGCTCAAACAGACTCCCTTTCCATAATATTTTTACGGCTATTCTGGGTTCAGGCGTACTTTGAAGCTAAGGCCATAATTTTGAAATATATGGACAAAACAGGTATTATAAGGCATAGAGGGAGACGTGTGGGCAATATATAAAAATTATGGGCATTCAAATTTTTCAAATTAGGTACCGAAAATCGCGTGAACCAAAAATAAACCCCCGGAATGATGATTGGTGAAAATACGATATGCTACCGTCTCTCCGATGCTTTCTTAAGCTCCGTCCCCAATGAGCCGCACGGCCGCACCACATGCCCGCACGTGCGGTGCGGCTCACTGCGGACACACTGGCCGCACGGCTCGGATGCGGCGCTCGTATGCGGCCGGCGGGGGGGG